CAACATCTAAGCAAACTATTAAGAAACAGGAAAATTCCGTTATAAACAGAGAGCGCTGAACTTTTATATAATATCGCTCCAAAAGCTAAGCAAAGTATTAAGAAACAGGAAAATTCCGTTAGAAACAATGAGAAGTGTCCTGAATTGTTATGTAATATTGGCACTATTATATATAAGCATGCCCACTGTTTTCGCGGAAAAACAGCATAGCGTAAATGAAAAATGCCACAAACTTAAAGAAAATAAAGTATTATCGTCAAAATGCTTATGTTATTATTAAGATGAAAGAAAAAAGTATTTTTTAATTATTTTTTGAAATTTTTTAATATTTTCTAACACGTTCGAAATTTTGGTTAAAGTTGTCTTTGTTTACGTCATCGCGGTGACGTTTAAAATAACATTGTTTTTTTTTGCGTTTTTTTCCCGTTGAAAACATATTGATTTGAAATTTTGGAAAATAAAATAATTGTCCGATCTTAATGAAATTTTCAGGACTTATTCACAAATGAATGAAATTATTTTTGAAATATTTTGTTTTTAGAAAATTTTGGTAAAAAATATTTTTTTTTAAATATGTTACCCCCCACTTAGTTAATTTCATGAAATTTCGCCCAAAACCTTTTTGGCTCCTCAATTTTATTTTTTTGTTAAAAGAAGGAGTCTTTGGAGATGGTAAGTAATCTACTTTTTTTTTACAAATTTGAGCTACTTAACTGAAAATCTTGTCTGAATTGAAAAATAATGAATCCAATAAAACTATGATATTACTTAATTAGTAAAGCTTTTAATTGCTTTTGTAAATAAGTAATATTAAGGACATTATTGTCTGAAGAAATAATTTTTTTCTGATGAATAATTAATTTTACAAGAATTTTTTTCGTTTTTAAGAAATTTTAATTATAATAATTCATAATAGTTTAACATCGTGTAAAGCTCTGTATTAGGAGGGCTCCTCAATATTATGTAGTAATTAAGTAAAAAAAAATTACGAGTCCAAAATTGCTAAGTTTAATAAATTTAGTTGCGCTACTTTTTTTTTAAAATAATTTTTTATGTTGTATTTTTAATACATTCCTTATTTCCATGTATGATATACATTCCATTATTATTTCCGTGATCTAAGGGTTTTTGTCCCTTTACGTGGCCTTTTCAAAACATACAGGTTGTATTTTCCGTTCAGCTTTAAAAGTGTAAACTTTAAATTTTAAATTATGATATACAGAAGGTCATTATTATTACAAGGTCACATGATCTAAGGGTTTTGTCCCTTTACGTGGCCTTTTCAAAACATTTCGTTTCTTACAGGTTGTATTTTCCGTTCAGCTTTAAAAGTGTAAACTTTAAATTTTAAATTATTTTTTCTTTTTTTCATTTACTATTTCACTAAATAATTTTATTTTATGTATTGTATTTCCATTAGTATGTGTCATACTCAAATAGAATAATTTTTCTAAAAAATCAGACTTAAAAATTATGTCATTTATGGTCATCAGGAGTAGCTGTGATCGGTTCGTCATAGAACAATCCATCAATAGATCGATCAGATGAACAGGACCGCTCGTTAATAATTGGTTGTATATTATTTTTTTATGCTATAAGTAACAAAGATTTCTTTGGAATCAGATTACTTTAACTTTAATTTTTTTAATTTTACTAAAATAACGTGTCAGAATTTTTTTTAAATATTTTCAAAATCGATAAATTTGTGTTTGTTTACAAATTTCTTAAAATTAAGAAAATGGCCGTTTTTAAGAAAATTTAAAAATTTGAAATTAAATTTGACAATGATGATTTGTATATAGTTTCTATCTGAAATACACCAGAATTGATTAATTAATAGAAATCGTAAATTTAATTATTAACCTTTCAATTAAAGCTAAAATGAAATCTTCAAGAATGTTTTTTCGTTGTAAAAAAATCATTTTAAACTCAATATAGAAAATTTATGCAGAAATAGTGGAGGTACTTAATTATATAACAACGAATACTGGACCCTCATCACAAATTAAAAAAAATACTTTAAGAAACAAAAATGTGATTCTACAGGAGGATGTTGAGAATATTATAGATTAAAAATCTTAGCAACGGTGCATGTTCAGAGAAAAGGGAAACAAAAAGGACACTTATACATAATATCGGAAAGAGACAGTTGGAATTTCTTAACAACATAATGAGGACAGACCTGTTAGAGGATTTGACCGTTCAAGATAAGTAGGACAGGGGAAAGCAATGTATACCCATCCTAACAACTTGTGTAATGGATTGGCAGAACAGGGATTAGGAATGATAAAAAAAGAAACATTCTGCTAAGAGATACAAAAACAGGAAATTATGGAGAGCTATGATCGATCACATCATAAAGGGACACGACACAGAAGAACATGTGTGCTATAACCGTTATACTCACTAGGGGCTTTATAGTCGTGTTTCTATAAATATTTACCGTACTCCTAGCCACAAAATTATGTTCAGCATGTCAGAGTAATAAAAATTTAGTGTATATACATATATATATATATATATATATATATATATATATATATATATATATATATATACAGTGTAACCGGATATAAGAGAGTTGTCGGGACCGGAGAAGAAGTCTCTTATATCCGGGTTTTCTTATATCCGGGTTTGGTCTATTTTATATACATTAACACAGGCTCTAATTTGGGACCAGAGAAAACTCTCTTATATCCGGGTTTCTCTTATATCCGGGTTACACTATATATATATATATATATATATATATATATATATATATATATATACAGTAGCGTCCAAAACTAAGGGACAACATTTTAAAACCTAATATTTGTTAGAAATAACAACTGTGAAAAGCTGAAATTTTGACAACTGGTAGTCGTTATCATCCATAATAACATACTAAAATTTGAATCATTTGCGAAGGATAGGAAAAGAATTATAACAATTATTTATTTATTTTCAAGTAAATGAGCCCTTGCTCTCAATGACAGCTGCACATCTTCGAATACAAGAACGAATCAGTTCTTAACAATCCTCGATACTAATTTTAGACCATTCTTCTTGAAGCTTCACCCACAAATCCTCCGTGTTAGTGGGATTTCTTTCCATAACTTTCACTTCTAAGGTCTTCCAAAGATTTTCTATTGGATTTAAGTCAGGACTTTGCGGTGGCCAATCCATAATTTCCAAATCTTGCTCGCTAAGGTAACTCATTACCACCTTTGCCTTGTGACATGGGACATTATCTTGCATAAAGGTAGCCCTATCGAAACCTGAATTCTGTATGATTGGCACAACATGATCTTGAACAATGTTTTTTATAGATCTGCGCGTTTACACGAGTTTGTAACCGGACAAGAGGCGTTGTACCTTGGCTAGAAAATATTCCAAATACCATGACGCTTCCGCCCCCAAACTTGACAGTTTTCTTAGTACACTTTGCACTTAATCTCTCACCAATACGTCTCTTTATATTGTTTTTTCCATCATTTCCAAATAAATTAAACTTGCTTTCATCATTGAAAAATACTTTTGCCCAATTTTCATATGTCCAAATGACATACCTGTTTGCAAACTCTAATCTCTTCTTATTCTTCGAACTAACAAGTGGTTTCTTCCCTGGGGTTCGATTAAACAGCCCTATTTCTTGCAGTCGTCTACAAACAGTCTGTCTTGACACATTAACACATGAGGTACTATTCATAATCCTTTTAATTTCTGTGCAAGACTTAAAACGGTCCTTTAATGACATACGCTGCATTATTCGATCTTCTCTTGCCGAAGTTTTGCGGGGTCTGCCGGTTTTAAAAGCACTAACTATTTTGCCAGTATCATTGTAGGATTTAACAGCCTTGCCTACAACACTCTTGGAACGTTTCACTTTCTCTGAAATCTCTCTAATGGTGTGCTTTTCCTTGTGTAGCTTCACAATAGCTTGTCTCACAGAGTAATCAAGTTTTTGGCGTTTCGCCATGGTGCTGGCTGATGCAACGTTTACAAATGACTAAGTAAGACTTATTCTTTAGAGGAAATCAAAAAAATTGAATATAGCATACTGTTTACATTGTTTTTCTCAATTTTGTCCCTTACTTTTGGACGATCCTATATTGAAAATAAATAAATAATTGTTATAATTCTTTTTCTATCCTTTGCAAATGATTCAAATTTTAGCATGTTATTATTGATGATAACGACTACCAGTTGTCAAAATTTCAGCTTTTCACACACACACACACACACACACACACACACACACACATATATATATATATATATATATATATATATATATATATATATATATATATATATATACACATACGTTCTCACCATAGACCAGTCGTTAGTGGTCTGGTTCTGTAAATAGCGAGTAATGAATTCGAACCTCACTAGACCGCTATACATCTTCACCATGGAACTATAGTTAGCGAGGTAGCCTTTTAAACCGTGTTTACTATGTAATTAATTTTTTTTCTCACTGAGCGCATCACGACTATAGCCTGAAAGTATATTTAGTAAATCGAACTGTAGGGCAGTTGTTGATAGGATGTTCTTACAAATCTGTTGGATGATGTAATAAGTTTGAGCATTACGATCTAACATGTCTGCAGGCAATTGTAATAATAGTGAGAACAAAGGACCGTAAACCGTAAGAATACTGAATGTATTATTATGAGCAAAAGAGAAAGTCTGACTTATTATCTAAGTATTGGCGACATCAAAATCAAGCGGGTAAATTGTCTCGTTTTCTACGGCTTACCAACACTTTTCAGATTGTTAAAACTCTATTTTGTTTTAGATTGTAAGAATTTATTTGTGGGGTGATAATATTGATTTAGTGAAAAAAAAAAACATACGCAGTACCCCGTAGAAGTGGGAGAAGAGGTGGAGTCATACTTTTTCCAATGGGTATTTACCCGTGAGGAAATGTAATGAACTCAACTGGAATTGGAGCTGGGCTCTGCTATTAACAATTCCGAGTCATTGTCCATTACACCACCTGCACATCCAAGCTTACAGCACCTGGTATTCCCAAGCGGTCACTCCTCTAAGTACTGACCAGGCTCGATGTTCCTTAACTTCTGTGATTTTAGGGGAACCGAAGTTATATGGTTGCAAGCCTCAGGCAGTACACGAATTTACCAACCTGGGTAGTGTAAGGTTAGAGCCGAGGGGTAATGTTTGCAATTCCCAGCAGAGAAGAGCAAACAAAATTGATAGAAGTGTTCCACGAGTCGTTCGTCCAAATCTCTCAATTAGACAACAAAATTATTAACGCACACACGTCTGTGTCTGTGTGTGTGTGCGTTTTTCTGTGTTAGTGTGTGTGAAAATCTAAAATATATATGTAAAAGACAATATGAATAAAGACAAAAGAAAAACTTACCTTAGTCGACGCGTTTCGTCATCCTACACAATTCGCCTACACATTTACGATGGCTTTCATGATCGAAACCCTGAATTTTCAAAAAACCTAAGTATATGCCCTCTGCTTTTCTATACAAATGAAGTGTGTACACACACACACACACACACACACACACACACACACACACACACACACACACACACACATATATATATATATATATATATATATATTGTTAAAAATAACAGACAGGGAATATTATGTCTGATCATGAGACATCCTAATGTTCGTATGTTTGCTTTAATTTCGGGTGAAAATCTAAACAAATATTTTGGATATTTTTTTGTTAGGTTGGTTCTTGATCTAAGCTTCCAGGTCACATGCGCCATCTTCAGAGTTGTTATACGGGTATTTTAAGAAAGGTATTCACCATCGAAGATAACATTTTGTTAAGTTGACATAGAAGATTGCTATGCGACGATAAAGGTCCCCGAATAACAGACGCGGATCGTAAGTTCAAGATGCGGTTCTATGACGTCGTACCTCGCGAGAGGGCGAAATATTAACAACAGAAACATATGTCTAGATGCAATGTAATGTGTTGTGACTGTTTTGAAATGCAATTTGGTGTGCAGATCTTAATTACCCTTTCAACAATTTGAACAAGGAAAGCAGTCTTAAGACCTCGGCCACGATGACTTGTGACTTCGTGCGAGCAGAGCTTTCGACGGCACCCCCAGTCGAATAACATTAGGTAGTCAAGTTGAGATTCGAACCCGCGTGTCATGATCAGAATGCGAACTTTCTAATCACCATATATATATATATATATATATATATGTGTGTGTGTGTGTGTGTGTGTGTGTGTGTGTGTGTGTGTGTGTGTGTGTGTGTGTGTGTGTGTATTATTGCATTACAAGTAATTTAAGTTGACATTGCTTCTCAGAGTTCACTGTTTCGTTTTTACAAAAAATCCAGACATGAATGATGGTTTTAATTACAGAAATTTTTTAAAACTTAAATTGACCAATTTCAGGAGTTTATATATATATATATATATATATATTAGTCATGACTTAGCATCTCGGCTTCAGTGACTTCCTACCGCTATAATGTAGCTGCACTCTGACTTTTCTTCAGACACTTTGATGAACTTTGAACTATGGTACCGAGACTTAATGAATTTAAGCGTAGTACTAATTGGTGGCAAAGTCTGATACTTGAATTAGTTAGATGTAACAGTTTCTTCTGTCAGAGTTCCCTCTTCTTAAACTCTCTTTCGCCTTCCGAGCCAAATTTTATATTTTGAAATTTAAATATGAATCGTTATTTGCTGTCTACTCTCTTCCTGTTCTTTTAGTGTACTCTCCTTAATATTATTTTTCATTCTCCATCACACCGCGTAAGCACTTGCGTCATAGTGCCTGTATTGCCTTGTTTGGTTGAAATGATTTTAATATATATATATATTATATATATATATATATATATATATATATATATATATATATATATATAAGGGAAAAAAATTGTTTTACCTCAAATCATGTAAACAATCTTTTTTTTTTTTTTCCCCCTTACCATCCTGTTTTATTACGGTATTAATAAAAAAATTTCTTGTTAGTACTCCGTTTTAGATTACTGACGATTGTGTTTGAAAATGTGTCGGTCGAAAGGTACCTTACATTTTATGTTTTAAACGTAGATTTTGTTGTATCTTATGTTTAATATGATCCCATATTTTTTATTCATCATCATATATATATATATATATATATATATATATATATATATAAACATGTTTAGCGCTATATATATACAGGGGTTATAACAGCAAAATTGTACAAATTGTGTTACAACATAATTGTCCATCACACACTTTCTAAAAAAACACTAAACTAATTGATTTCTTTTTTCCTAGTTTTCAGATAAGACGTTTAACCAGATTAAATCCATTTGTCGAAAGAATCACTGAAAAACCCTTTGATTTTTTCAGCTAGAAAGAGAACAGGCTAACATCATTTTACGTCAACACGACTGTCTTCCAAAATGAGCAATGGTGAGAGGAAAAAGCTCATTTATGTCTTCACTAATGTTACTAACAATCATACTCTGGTTTTCCATCTTCAAAATTCATTCAATAACCATCAAGAGATTGGTGAAGGAACAGTAGAGAGGAAAACTGGTTCAGGTGACCACAACAGAAAGAGAGATCATCATTTCAAATTAGAGGTAAAGAGATCAATTAGAATAGATTCAACTCAATTCAGGAGACATATGACAGTCCAAAGAGCAGCAAAAAAAATGAAATCGCAGGTAAAACGTGTAAGGCAACTTCTTACTCATGGATAGAAAGTTAAAAGTTAAGAGAGGGCGAAGATCATCTTGAATAAGTTGGAAAATGACCCTGGAAATATATATATATATATATATATATATATATATATATATATATATATATGTATGTATGTATGCATGAACTTTATTTGAATTCTTCATGAGCTTCCAATCCTTAGCTATGACTAATTAATGATGAACATGACATTTTCTTTTATGATCGATTTCATCACGATTCTTTTTTTAAGATTTGAGACTAATTATACATACATCCTTATTGCTCAAAGTAGAGCACAATAGTCTTGGAAAAACCTCGGAGAATTCCAACAAGATATTTTTAATCATTTCTATGATACAACTTAATCTAACAATTGGACAATTTTGCTATTACATTATTTGGACAATTTCGCTGTTACATGTATATATATATATATATATATATATATATATATATATATATATATATATATATATATATATATATATATATATGTGTGTGTGTGTGTGTGTGTGTGTGTGTGTGTGTGTTTGTAAGTGAGTGTACAAGACACGCAGAAAAAGAGAAAGTTGTTGATTGTTTGGTAATTGTGTTGCCAAAGAAACCTCTCTCCACTTCGACATCCAACCCTCAATCCACTCAGCCATACGGAACAAGGCAAATACACACCTCCACTTTCAACGCCGTGTTCATAACTGTTGTCTTTTCTGTAGTGATGAATCAACTCTTTTCCGGCCCAAGGCTGTAATCTGTCAACACATAATTACGTGCTTATTGTTCTAATCTCTTTTATACTTTTTTTTTTCTGTGGCTTTCTGTTGTACTTTTTTTTACTTTTTTTTTTACTCCAACAGTCTCTCTTCCGGAGGTGAGGGATTCTCTCTAATAAATTGTCTAATAATGACCCATTTCTGTTTTTTTTTTTTTTTTTTTTTTTTTCTTTTTTTCTTTTCTTTATTGGTCGCGGAATGGAGTCAATGAGGTGATTCGCAATTATTTTGCATTGATTATCTAAAGGCAAATCAACAGCGTGAAATAACAATCTCCCCCCTTTCAAACTTCCGTCGACTATTCTTGCCCTGTCCGCCTCTCTCCTTCTTTCTTTCACTCACTCTTTCTCTCTCTCCCTCTCTCTCTCTCGTTTTATTTTATTTCTTTAAACTTTTTCCGTATCTATCTATCTATCTATCTATCTATCTATCTATCTATCTATCTATCTATCTGGTTGATAAGCTTTAATAAACGAATCAATTAATCACAAACTTTCTTTCTTTCCTGCTTTCTTTCTTTCTTTCTTTTTTCTTTCTTTCTTTCGACCTCCAATTTCTTTCTTTAATTCTCCTTTTCCTTATTTTGTTTGTTCTTTCTTTCTTTCTTTCTTTCTTTAATTCGCCATTTCCTTATTTTGTTTGTCCTTTCTTTCTTTCTTTCTTTCTTTCTTTCTGTCTTTCTTTAATTCGCCATTTCCTTATTTTGTTTGTCCTTTCTTTCTTTCTTTCTTTCTTTCTTTCTTTCTTTAATTCGCCATTTCCTTATTTTGTTTGTCCTTTCTTTCTTTCTTTCTTTCTTTCTTTCTTTCTTTCTTTCTTTCTTTCTTTAATTCGCCATTTCCTTATTTTGTTTGTCCTTTCTTTCTTTCTTTCTATCTTTCTTTCTGTCTTTCTTTAATTCGCCATTTCCTTATTTTGTTTGTCCTTTCTTTCTTTCTTTCTTTCTTTAATTCGCCATTTCCTTATTTTGTTTGTCCTTTCTTTCTTTCTTTCTTTCTTTCTGTATTCCTTCCTTTCTAGTTTCTGTATTGTTTTGTCTTTTCTTTTTTCGTTTTCTTTCTTTCTTTCTTTCTAGCTTCTGCATTTCTTCTTCCTTTATTCATTCATAATTCCTTTCTGTCCATTTTGTACAGGTTTTCTTTGTATTTTTCTTTCTTCTTTCTTTTTTCTTTCTTTCTTTCTTTCCTTCTTTCCTTCTTTCTTCTATATTTATTTATTGATTGATTTTTAATTTATGTTACCTTTTTTCTTTCTTCATTTTCTTCTTTTTTTTTTTTTTTTTTTTTCTTTCTTCATTGTCTTCTTTCTCTTTTTCATTTTTCTTTCTTTCTTCATTGTCTTCTTTTCTTTTCTTTTTTTTTCTTTCTTCATTGTCTTCTTTTCTTTTTTCATTTTTTTCTTTCTTTCTTTTCTTCATTGTCTTCTTTCTCTTTTTCATTTTTCTTTCTTTCTTTCTTCATTGTCTTCTTTCTCTTTTTCATTTTTCTTTCTTTCTTTCTTCATTGTCTTCTTTCTCTTTTTCATTTTTCTTTCTTTCTTTCTTCATTGTCTTCTTTCTCTTTTTCATTTTTCTTTCTTTCTTTCTTTTAGCTGATTTTCTCTCTATGTTCTTATGTCTTTCCTCCTGTTTAGATTAATTTTCT